ATTCATGTGATTGGTTGTTGGTCGAGTTTCAGACACGCCCGCCGGCAAGCTTCAACGCACGCAGCCGTGTGGACGCTGCGTTAGTGTTTTTTCAAAGATAAACGAATGCACATTATGGCAGCGCTTTATGTTAGAAAATATTACTAATCAGGGCCTTTTTGGGGATAGTTTTATACCCATATGCATATGCATACTGTATTCCTTAAAATAGATACAATTCTGTTAAAAAGGGCGGTTTTTAAAGGTTTTTGTTGTGTTTTTAACGTCTATCGTGCAAGAAAAGGTAAACAAAAAGATATTGTCTGATTTCAAACTTTCTTTTGTGATACATAGGTTTACAATATTGTCAGAAAGTCTATGCTTTTATCAAATAACAACAATCAAACATAACATCATGGAGCAAAACGATAATACTTATAAAATCATAGTTATTAAATGTGATATTAAAAACAACTATTTTCCATTAATAAAGCTACGCACTAAACTTGGTGTCATTTGCTTAATTTATTTTAATGTACTGATTATTACCATTTGTTGTGTAAAGGCTTATTCAAGTTCCCTAAAGCTCAGGTTATGAGAGAAAGGCAGCTGTTGGTGTATTTCCTGAAGTGTAAACAAGGACTTAGTAAGTGAAATAACTAATATCACTGAGTACATTTAGAGATAGGTTATTTTCCAGAGCAATGTCACTGTGTTGTTGATCAATGATCAATAGTATGATATGTTGTCAGAGGACAGCGGGGGATGTTTTGTTCAAAGTTCACGATCCAACAGCTGCAGCTAGATTTCTCATGAGTGACGTTCGGAAACCGCTCGCTGCAGGAAGTGGTTTCTGAGTAACGGTGTTCAACAGGGGGGGGGGTTTGGGCCCTTCTACTTTTTTTTTTATTGTTGATGACGCTGCAGACTTATTGCACAAAACAGAGGAGAACTACTGTGCTCAAATACAGCAACATTTGTCAGAAGATGCTGTTTCGTTTAGGCTCTTAAATACAGAGGCCCATCTTTTCTCTTTGACATTTTAAATATAATATATATAATTTATACATGTTTACTCAGTGCAGATGCATCACATTGGCAGACTTAAGAACAACAAAGTGATATTTACTTTCTGCCATGGAAACACGGACAAAGAGTGACTGGAAAAGCTAAATAACATTCAAATAGAAAGTCACAAGAAGGACTTGAGGCTGAAGGATCAGAAAACATCACATGAGGCCGTATGCTACTGCAGGAATTTTATGTTGGAGAAAAAAAATATATGTTGTTAAAAAAATGACCAAGCTGATGAGGAATAGTAGTCGTAATATTTTGTGGTATTTCTGCTTTCAAAAATACGGTAATATCTAAACTTTTGGTTAGCCATCTGGCTTTGTTGTGATTGGTCAACCTCTTAGAGATGTCACGCCTAAGCCTAACCCACATACAATGTGTTCGAACGCTAGCCAATAGAAGCGCAAGTGTTATGTAGTGATGTCACTATGTTCAGGAAGTAAACAAAGGAGTCCAATAGATGCGTTATAGGCAGTGTTGGGACGCGTTACTGTAACGCAACTACTTTTTGCGGTAACTAATAGCGTTACTAGTTACCTATTCCCATTAAGTAACGCCGTTATAGTTACTGTGATTTAAATGGGCGCGTTACTGCGTTACATTATGTGATGGAACTGAACCGAATCTCCCTGCGGATGTAACTTACAGGCGAATACAGCGATGTCCTCTCACAGTACCATGGAAAAGTGAAAGTAACCAGAGAGGAGTGATGATTGGTTAACGCATGGTAACATTTCAGGATAAGCCAATCAGAGACAGAGTTGGGCGGGGCTTGCCTTATGGGGAAAATACAGACACAAACACTTGCTAATGCACACACACACACATACACGGCAACGCCCACCACCAGCACACACACACACACAATTGCAGATGCAAGTATCAGCGAGAGCAGCAGCGCATTTACAACTTGGAGATATAACCACTATTTTCAATTTGTGGGGATAAAGGACGCTAAAAATATTACGGTCAAATGTAAACTGTGTGCAGGACAGAAAGCATTGTCCACATCGGATAACAGCAATGCCAATCTCCTCAAGCACCTAACTAATGTACATGGAGCTATAAAACTAGTCGCCAAAGACCCCACCGTCTCAACCACCGGCAGTGACCCAGATGTAGCAACACCATCTAAACAGCCAAAAAACGACTTCACATGTCACCCAGAGTCAACTAAACAGATTGATTGCCAGTTATGTTGTTGAGGACATGCTGCCCATCGCAACGGTCGAGTCTGTTGCCTTCAGAGAACTAGTCAGCAAAAAACAACACAAAAACTTGTATTTTTATTGTTATTATTTTTAAAGTAAAGTAACTTGTTACTAGTTACTTTTATAATTTGGTTATAAAGTAACTAGTTACTTTTTTGAGAGCAGTAACTATAACTATTACTAGTTACTTTTTAAAAGTAACTTGCCCAACACATTGTCAATAACATAATTTAATTTACAATAGAATAAAATAGATAAAAGTCCTAACAATGGGTAAAGGCGAAACCATTTTAGAAGGGACTTTCATTGCAGGAAAAAGAAAGGGAAGAAAACTTTTTTGTGCAGTTATCATAAAGCCCTTTGACCCCACTTCATAAATGTATAGGTACAAGGAGAAAAATAAAAGTTGTTGGGGATTTCTGAGACTGAACCGCAAATAAATGTCTAAAAAAGTCAGGAAAGTTGCAGTTTGTCGTACAAACATTGTTTTGTGCGAAACCGCTTAGTTAAATAAATCTTGTCCAGCACAATATCATGTGTCCATTACCTTGGCTTGCTAGCAGGTATATGTCCCCAAAATGTATTCAATACAAGAAACAATAGATGTATATGCGAGATGTCTGGACACAAACAGAAGGGATTTTAGATTGTATGTACAAAATTAAGAGACGGACAGCTAACAGATAAACAAAGCTTGTGTTGCTCGTAGTTCAGACAACTCTAACAATAGTTACTATAACGATTAGGCTTTGTATTAGCAGATCAAATTGTCTCGTGTCACAACCACAAGGAACCCTTCACTGCATGTCAGATTAGGCATAATGTTTGGTTTAAATACTGCACATTGTTCGTCTGTGACTGATGGATTTGTGGGGAACTGACGTGTGAAAGTGACTGAGCATGAATATATGAATAGCACAATTTTATGGACATGGCTATACATTGTGTGTGTGTGTTTGTGTGTAGGGGGGGCCGTTAGGGGATAAGCACTCAATAACAGCTGACACTGAGCTGCCCTCTGCTCTCGCTCACACAAAGGACTATGATTATATTACTCTTTGACTGCCTGTCCCCCCCTCCCTGCAACCCCCCCATCATACCGTATACTGCCAAGCCCTCTGTGCACTCAACGGCTAAGATAATTACCACTATTGTGTGTCACACACATACACACTCCCATGCAAAGTGTGCCACGTGCTTGCCAGCTCCCCCATCTGTCCCCTACACTCGTACCCCTTTCTCTCTCTATTCCCTCTCTCCGTTTTTATCTGTTTTTGTTTCTGCACCCTTTGACATTAGCTATTTGTCAGGAAAGGGAAAATCCACTACAGAGGTGGATCTGAAGATGGTGGAGTAAAGACATGTACAGTTGCAAGAAAAAGTATGTGAACCCTTTGGAACTACCGGGATTTCTGCATAAATTGGTCATAAAATGTGTTCTGATCTTCATCTAAGTCACAACAATAGACAAACACAGTCTGCTTAAGCTAAAACCACACAAACAATTATATGTTTTTATGTTTTTATTGAACACACCATGTAAACATTCACAGTGCAGGGTGGAAAAAGTATGTGAACCCTTGGATTTAATAACTGGTTGACCCTCCTTTGGCAGCAATAACCTCAACCAAACGTTTCCTATAGTTGCATATCAGACCTGCACAATGGTCAGGAGGAATTTTGGACCATTCCTCTTTACAAAACTGTTTCAGTTCAGCAATATTCTTGGGATGTCTGGTGTGAATCGCTCTCTTGAGGTCATGCCACAGCATCTCAATTGGGTTGAGGTCAGGACTCTGACTGGGCCACTCCAGAAGGCGTATTTTCTTCTGTTGAAGCCATTCTGTTGTTGATTTACTTCTGTGCTTTGGGTCGTTGTCCTGTTGCATCACCCATCTTCTGTTGAGCTTCAATTGGTGGACAGATGGCCTTAAGTTCTCCAGCAAAATGTCTTGATAAACTTGAGAATTCATTTTTCCGTCGATGATGGCAATCTGTCTAGGCCCTGAGGCAGCAAAGCAGCCCCAAACTATGATGCTCCCTCCACCATACTTCACAGTTGGGATGAGGTTTTGATGTTGGTGTGCTGTGCCTTTTTTTTCACCACAGATAGCGTTGTGTGTGAATATTTTGCCAGTAGTGCTGTGGAACATCCAGATGCCCAGCTAGCGGGGAACGTTCTCACAACTTTGGCTAACGTTACCTATTGGTTCTAACAAGGTTTTAAAGAAACGTTTTAATCTGATGTTCAAAGAACCTTTTTAGGATGTTTATTTGTTCAAATAATGTTCCTATAAGGTTTAGGGTTAACTAAGACATAACGTTTTAACTGCAACATTCAGAGGATGTTTTGAGGATGTTATTAAGGGCTGAGNGGTATGGGCAGCTATCAAAGCTACTATACATCACATTAAAAACGATGTATAAATGAAAGTTGGACACAAATATACAATTTTAAATGAAACTTGAATAAATCATTTAAAATTGTATATTTGTGTCCAACTTTCATTTATACATCGTTTTTAATGTGATGTATAGTAGCTTTGATAGCTGCCCATACCTTCAGACAGCCTAAAAGTAAAACACAAGTCGTTTATTCACAGCCCGAACGCTTATCGAGATGACTGGATCATCTATGACAACTTGTGATCAGCTTAAATAAACTACGTTCTTGCGTATTGCGTT